ACTGCATGTGTCTTCTTGGTAGAGACAGAGGGGATGACAGAGCATAGCATATCTGACCTTCTCTAGCAGAAAACACTGGACTTTGGGCACGACTTTGTACACGCTGACAAGTGCATCTCTGATGTCTGACACCTGAAATCGGATAAACTGCATTAGAAGTGAAACGTCAGCAGAGGAAACGAACAGTTCTGTCGTGGTCAGGAGTGACACCGGTTTACACTCCCATGGATGCAAACATCTGATAGCAGCGTGCTCTCCCCAGGGCACCCCTGGCTCACGGACACAGCTCGGAGATGCTGGGGATGAACCGCCCCGGCCTGGGCCCTGAAGGAGACAGAGCAGCCCCCGCAGGTTCCCCTCCAGACGGGAGTCCACACACGTGGCACTACACGGGTCTCCCTTCACCTCTCAGCCCTGATCCTGTGCCTGCATGCTGGGTACAAAAGCAGAAACTCTCCTGCCAGGAGATGGGAGGCCAGACCCTGCCTGTGCTGACGCCCCGCCTCGTGCCTCCAGCACAGGGAAGGAGCTCAGAAAACACGCGCTGTGGTTGTTGCTCTGGCTTGGAATTGAAGTCTGTTCTCTGAACGTCATGATCTGGGCAAGAAAATTCCCCTTATCCACGTAAATGTGAGTCCAGGTGAAACTGAAGGAGCCTGCAAATGCCCAGCCTCCTGGGCGGATGGACAGGGGGCAGCTGCAGTCCCGCCGGAAGGGCGCTGTCCCGCCCGCCCCTACTCTCCACGGACGGAGGAAAACGGCAGATCTGCAGGGAAGTGCTGACTCAGTCACACCCGGTCAGGAGACCAGAACGAGGGTTCGGGACCCGCCGAGGCAGCGGAACTCAGAACGGCTGAAGACAGTGACTTTCGGGTGTTTCACGTTCATATATGGAACAAATACAGAAACTGCCTCCGGAGGGGGAGTCGGCTGACTCTCTCTGTAAAGGGCCCAAGAGCGGAGGCCTCAGGCCCGGGCGGGTGGTGACCACTGCCTGGGGGCCAGGCCGTCCGCCCACAGCTGCGCTCACACCAGGGTGAGCCCTTCTGTACGGGCCACCTGCCAACAGGCTCCGCCGGGTTCCAACCTCTACACTTTTATCATGAAACAAAGCACAATTACATCACGAAAACGAATCTTCGTTTCCTCCTTCAGGCTCATAGAACTGGGCTGTCCAACTGCACATCCTATTAATACCGGCCTCTTAAGAGCCTGGAACACACTCCTCACTGGGAAACCGCGAACCTGCTCCAAAATCATGTTTAAGTAGCCTTGAGTTTACACAAAATATACAGGAAAACAACATTTAAATGAAATCTATTTAGAAACATAATAGTCAAGTGGTGGGGGCTGGTGTGGGTTCTTTGAGACCAGAGGATAGCTCACGGCTGAGGTGATGCCTGGTCGTGACCAGGCGTCCCAAGTTAGGGGGTACACACTTGATAGGAAGCCAAAGCAAGACTTACCTGGTAGTAGCGATCGATAGATGGTTCTATCCCCAATTTTTGGAGCACGCTAAAATTAAAAAAAAAAGGTGGGGTATAATGAAGGTCCGATTTCCTTTCCTGCTGCTATCACATTTCATAGTAAAAATGAAGACCCCCCTAAAGGGAAGTATGCAGTCTCCCTACCTGGGGCCGTGAGTCTGCTGACACGGGCGGCACCGGAGTGGTGCCCAGGCCGCCTGCCCTCCCCTTGCCGTGGGCACACGAGTGCCTCATCTGGGCCCCTCTCCAGTACCGGAACCTCAGCATCGGCCGGGCGGCTGCCACCCACGGGAGGAGGCATCACGTGACCACCTATCCGCCACGCCTGTCCTCAAGGACAGCGAGCAACTGGTTCTGGATTCTAGGCTTATCCTAACAACTCGATATTAGATCAATCTTTAAAATACGTTCAACGCCTTGAATCACTTTCTAAAGCACATGGTTTTAACCAGCTCTTTGCGACCCCAGGGATTGTAGCCCTCCAGGCTCTTCTGTTCTTGAGATGCTCCAGGCAAGAATACTGGAGTGGCTTGCCACGCCCTCCTCCAGGAGGTCTTCCTGACCCAAGAACCTCCATCTCTTATGTCTCCTGCATTGGCAGGTGGGTCCCCTACCACAGCGCCACCTGGGAAGCCCAGTGGTTTATAACATAGAGGAAAATAGAAAGAACGTGTTTTGACTCCTTAGCTTTAATTTTGTGAGCACTGAGATTTTAGATTTTCCTTGGAGAAGCTGGGAGACAATATGACTTCCCTACAGCTGTTCTACATAGTCTCTATCAGACATTCGGTGGGCAGGAGCGTCTTTCCTCAGCAGACCCCAGGGAACGAACGCACTCTGGGGAGAACAAGACTCAGCCCGTCCACCCCCGTGGGCCTGGCTGATGCTCCAGGGATCCCAGAATTCCGCAACTCTGCACTTGCGTGTGTCTGTGGAAAGCCACGCAGATTCAGGAAGGGTAACCAGGAGGTACTTAGTCAGTGGTTGTAGGCTGAAGGGACGAATTATGCAAATATTTGACCTTAACACTTTCAGCATGACCACGTATTCTCCTTTTCCTGCTGGATTCAATAACACCTGGGCTATGGAGTCGGCCGGACTCATGCTGCCTCTGAACCAGGACCGTGAGGTCTGTGCTGGTGAACTGAGGGTGCCTTCCTCCCCAGAGTCTGATAAGAGGGAGGTGCCCAGGGATCTCCCACGTGGGCTACTTCTCCCAGGACCTGCGTGATGAGCCCCTCAGTCTCTGAGCCCGCTCCATGCAGTCAGGCCCCCAGGGGTCTGGAAAGGCTCATGGGAGGTGGGTGCGTCTCAGGATGACTCAGCTGCCCGGTTCCCGGGACCGTGCTAAGTGAGTCAGGGATGCTGTGCCGGACAACTCGCTGCCCCGCTCACCCCCAGGACTAGGATGTGGGTGTGCGGTGACTTGGGAGCGTGGGGTGCGGGAGGCGAGGCTACATACAGGCCTGGGTCTCCCACCTGCTCAGGGCCAGCTCCTTATACAGATCCAGACTCTTGCTGAAGTACTTCCACTGGGAATTGAGGGCGTCCAGCTGGGCGGCACAGGTCCCGTGCTTCTTCCACTCATGGCTCCTGTAACGGTGTGTTAAAAAAAAACTCTGGTTAAAAGGATGACACCGCCTCCCAGTAAACCACTGCATGGCCCCTCATGCAGGGCATCCGGGCAGGAGGCAGACTGTCGTTTTCACAAAGTGGAAGGACAGACGCCCTCCTCTCGGCACAGGCCCCAGGCCCCGCCGGACCCAGCTGAGCATCACCAGCCCTCATCAGTTTCCTTCAGGCCTTCCTCTGCCAGGCAGCTCCAACTCGCTTCTGCGATTAACAAACCCAACTGAGAAAGAAGCCAATGCCGTCGTTCAGGCTTCACAGGATCACACGGCTCTGGGTGTCCTCCCGGGGAGCCCCCGCTGGACAGCAGGGGACTTGACGGGCATGGCTGGATGGCCACTCCTCGGCCACTGGTGAGAAAAGGCAGGCTCACTCATCACCAGGATGCCCTGAGGCCGGATCCTGGCGCGCATTGCAGCATAGACATCATCTACAGAGACGCCTGCATGAAAGCAACAGCCCAGCCAGATGCCCTCAAACAAGCAGCAATTTGTACTGAAGAAAATCACCACCACTGATAATAACTGCTCCCATTTTATCGAAGATTAAACCAGGTGGCATGGTGGTAAAGAATCCACCTCCCAGTGCAGGAGACGTAGGTTCGACCCCAGGGCTGGGAAGATCCCCTGGAGAAGGAAATGGTGACCCACTCTAGTGTTCTTGCCTGGAGAATCCCATGGACAGACCTACAGCCTACATGGTGGGCTACAGGCCATGGGGTCGAAAAAGAGTTGGACACGACAGCACGCATGCAAGCAACAAATTTTGGAAAATGTTTACCCATTCTTCACTTGGGTCTCACAACACTGCAAAGTGAAAATACTATCGCTGGTTTAGAAGCGGGGACATCGGGCTCATGGGGGCCAGTGAGCAGCCCGGCTTCACGGCTGCCCAGCCAGGCGGCCCTGGCCTGCCTTGACCCACGCTCGGGGCCCTTCCCATGGCCCACGCTGCCAACCAATCAACTGCCAAACACGGATTACACCCGCCTTTAGAATGATTGACAACTTGTCAATTCAGAAGCTAACCAGGGTTAGCACAGAAAAACCAAACGGGCATCGGGTTTATCAATGATTAATTCACGAAGATTTACTAAAGACAGTCATTCAAGTACTCAGCAGGCACCCACATGCAATCTCACAGAAATAGCCTAAACGTGCACTGATCCTTTGGTAGCATCACCAGGGAGTAGTTCTGAGTGAGGGCAATGGCTGAGTTACCAGTCTCCTGGACCCAGGAAAACCATGAAAGAGAAAAGTGAAAGTGAAAGTCGCTCAGTCGTGTCTGACTCTACAACCCCGTGGACTATACAGTCCATGGAATTCTCCACAGAATACTGGAGTGGGTATCCCTTCTGCAGAAGATCTTCCTGACCCAGGAATCAAACCAGAGTCTCCTGCATTGCAGGTGGATTCTTTATGAGCTTGAGCTGAGCCACAAGAAAACCATGAGGAGAGATTAGAAACAGATGAATAATCAACTTTCTTCATCTACAATAGCAGCCACGGTGAATTATTTCTTAACTTTCTAAATTCTATGAAGTAGAAAAAGGAGACTCTTCAACTAGCTGAACGTGAAACTGAATTACGGGGGCCTCAGTTTCTGCACAATAGGGACAGTCATTCTAGAATCTCCCACAGAAGGAGCTGGAGAAGTCAGGGGCGGAAGCAGTCACACACACCCAAACAGCTCCTAGCATGTAATAGTCAAGAAACGTCCACTGTTGTACCTAGAGCGAGTTAACTCAACAGATGTTAGAAATAACCAAACTCTCATTCTTTTTCTTGTTGTTTAGATAGATGCTCAGCTGTGTCCAACTCTTTGCAACCCCATGGACTGTAGCCCACCAGTCTCCTCTGTCCATGGGATTCTCCAGGCAAGAATACTGGGGTGGGTTGCCATTTCCTCCTCCAGGGGATCTTCCCAACCCAGGGGTTGAACCCACGTCTCGTGCATTACCAGGCTGATTCTTTACCACTTAACCTCCAGGGAAGCCCTTCTTTTTCTTACAAGCATCAGAAACCAGTAACACCCCTATTTTGCAGATGGTCGTGTACACAGTATTTGTCAGGATGGCTGGTTTTATTAACAGATTTAATCTTAGGGAACTATCTTGAGCACCAAGTGACAGCAGGACCCTCTCCTTTGCATCCATGATTCCCATCTGAGATTAAAGAGAAAAGTTTTCTGATGTGAGCCCCCCCCTTAAGGACAGGGGAGGCCAGGACACCTCCACGGACACTTTATCCAAGATAGCAAGGCGACCGGGACAACGGCTACCCATGGCAATAACCAGGGAGCTGGTAAGTGCCCGGCCACGTGAGCGCCATCTCCACACCCAAAGGCATGAACGCTACCTTTGTCATTTAGAACAAGTTTCTAAGTGCATCATGTTAGCACCCAACCTGAAAGGCAAATCATTTTGCCCTTATCAGAACACAAAGCCGAGTGTGTGTTCTGCCCACACCATCTCATCGGACATTGAAGGACTCGTCCCATGGAAGGCCATCTTTGTGTATGTTTGGGTGTGTGCAGTCGCTCAGTCGTGTCCGACTCTTTGTGACCCCACGGACTGTAGCCCACCAGGCTCCTCTGTCCATGGGACTCTCCAGGCAAGAATACTGGAGTGGGTTGCCAAGCTCTCCTCCAGGGGATCTTCCTGACCCAGGGATCAAACCTGTGTCTCTTTTTCTTCCTGCATTGGCAGGCAGATTTGTTATCACTGTGCCACCTGGGGAGATGCTTTGTGTATGTTTAGTGGTATATTTTTAAGCTTTGGCAAAAACCTGACTGATTCTCTCTGGAATATTCTAACTACTGAAATCTCTTCTGTTTACTTAGTCATCAAAGAGTTTTTATTTTAAAGTATACCGTGAAGTGCTAAAAGTTTTTTTTTTTATTGTTTTCACTATTTCAACTCATGTAGGCCACAGTCTGTTCTGAAACCACTTTCCAGACCTCAGGTTGCTCGGAGCCAGCACTGGAGACGTGGACTGTTCCTCTCCCAAACTTTCACAGCCTCCGGACCCAGAGCCGTGAGCGAACCACCTCCCAGCCACACACCCTCGAGTGAACTCGCAAACCGAGCACCCACGAACCAGGAGGACAAATGTCATTGTCACTCTGCTTTGCTTCAAAAAGCTGTTCTCCAAATGTAACTCCTCCTGAAGAGTCTACACACATGTACTTCCAAGTTAAGTGAATCACTTTGGCCAAAACCTGATTCACTGTGACATGAATTACAAACTGCCATCCTGCAGCGAGGGAGGGCTTTCCAAGCGGCATCAGTGGTAAAGAATCCACCTGCCAATGCAGGAGACCCGGGTTTAACCTCTGGGTCCAGAAGATCCCCTGGAGAAGGGCATGGCAACCCACTCCAGTATTCTTGCCTAGAGAATCCCATGGACAGAGGAGCCTGGTGGGCTATGGTCCATAGAGTCACAAAGAGTCAGACACCATGGAAGTGACTTAGCACGCACACAGAATGAAATATAAGATGGATTAAAAAGCAAGTTTACAAAGTCACTTCTGCTAGCCCTCACTTTTTATCCACTGGAGGACCGCTCCAGAGAGGGCGCAGCTCCGCAGCCTCAGAAGCCAGGCTCTCCGTCACCCCTGCTCCCACGGTCCCACCTCACACCTGGGCTCTGGGGCCCGAGACGGGCCTGGGAACTCAGACTCACCAGAACTGGAGGCTGCAGTTGGACGGATGGAGCAGATCGGGCCAGTACCTCTTCATGTCTGGCAAAAGGTCCTGCACATAAAGACAGCACTGGTAATAAATCCACGTAAGTCCTGACAACTCAAACCCAGAAGGCAGATCCGACAAACGAACACATTAAAAAAGAACAAAACTGAGCTCTGTGAGTTAATAACACTCAGGTGAGTGAAAGGACTCAGTTTATTTTGCATGACGTGTTTCTTAAGACACACCTAAAAGTGAAGTCTGGGGAATCGTGAAAGCGTATGTGAAAATATAAGCTCTGATGGGTGAATGGCTAGACAAATCATGTCCACCCATACAATGCAGTATTATTCAGCATCAGAAAAAAAACACAAACGTATCAAGCCAGGACACTGGCTTCCTTCTCCCCAGCTTGAATGTTTCCAACGACTATGTCTGCATTTTCACTCAGACACACAAGCCTTAACCAGCACACAGGACTCTGGGGAACACTGCCCGGGCCCACGGCTCACCCGCAGCCACACTGGCTTCCTTCGCTGCCCCAAAGCTCTGTCCTAGCCCAGGGCCTTTGCACACGCTGCTGCCGCTCCTGTCTCTGGTTAAGTTGGATTCCAGCTCACCACCACCTCCTCAGGAGAGCTGGGCCCAGGCCCACTGTCCTCAGTCTGACTACCCTCCCCTGCAGGCACCCAGAGGGGACATCTGTCCTGGCTCCCGGCTGCAGGCAGGGTGGGCCGGAGACGCGCCTGGTTCTGCCCCGGCCCCCGGCCCCTGGCCCCGTGCCCGAAGCTCTGCTGGCTCGAGAACCTGTGACTGGTTTGGACGTGATTACCTCGTCCTTCTGGGGGCCGTGCAGTCCTGGGAAGGGCCCATAGTTCTGGCAAATCCCAAGTCTGCCCCACGTTTTCAGAGGGGTCTCAGGAACTCGCAGACCCACCCGGTAAGTCCAGGGATGCAGTCACGAGCCCCTGACAGTAGACCATCACACATGAGGGGTCGTCAGCACCCCGTGGAAAGCTGCACTCACATGTGCGTGTGTGTGTGGCTGCTACCAGCTCTCAGAACCCCAGGGCCCGGAGTTACTCTGCAATACAAGTCTTTGTCCTGGAAAGACCCATCTCCTCTTCCCTGCTCACTGGCCCCACTGAGAAACCCACCCACAGCTAGAAAGGACACTCTAGGGGCCACAAGCCAGGGCAGTACACACGCCTGAGCTCATGCCCAGAGGGCAGGGGTCCCAGACTAGGAACCACGGGCCGTGGGCTAGACCCAGGGCCGGCCTGCTCACCCCTGCCGCCCCACGCAGTCGCTGCAGCCCATCGGGCCCAGGGCAGAGGAGAACTCACTGAGACACAGACCATACTTAACACATGGGGCTGCTTTAGATACCCGTAAATGCTGGTGAACACACTTTACACACGGCTTTGAGGGCACACCTACAGGAGGAGCGAATCTGCGGTGGGAACACTACTAAAGTTAGTACCTTGATCTCCTGTGGATTAAAGGGCCAGGATCGGTTACATGCTTCACTTTTATCGGGCCTTGAAATTAGAGTTGAAAAAATAAAGAGAAATTAGTCTTGGTTGGGCTGGTTCCAAATGGCATGCGAAAACACTCGAGTTGTGGTCTGGAGAGAACGAAAGGGGTGAGTCACGCTCGGGCACGAGCCAGCACACTGGAGTTCCCTTCAAAGCGGAAGGGTGTTCAAAACTTCAGGCTCCGGGCACACAGGCTCTCCAGCACAGAAGCATCCAGACAGCCCAGTAGGGGGCGACCCAGAGCTGGGTCGGTGGAGATGTCTGGTTCTGGCGTTTCCCTGGTGGTTCTGTGATAAGAGTGTCTGCAATGCAGGAGACCCAGGTTAGATCACTGGATTGGGAAGATCCCCTGGAGAAGGCCATGGCAACCCACTCCACTATTCTTGCCTGGAGAATCCCATGGACAGAGGAGCCTGGCGGGCTACAGTCTGCAGGATCGCAAAGAGTGGACACAAGTGAGCAACCAACACTTTTTAAGTTACTTGCAAATCTCCGTTCAACAAGCACAGCATGAAAACAACAAGAGGTTCCGCCTCTTTACAGGTGATGAGGATCATTAACACAAGGTGCGTGTCCTGCTCAGGACGTGCCTGGTGACGGCCCAAGGTTGGCTGCTGGATGTTCTAGCACAGAGCACATGTCCCTCCACTTGCGCATGTGATTCTGTCCTCACGCGTCCAATTCTGGATGGGTCAACGCTCCATCTCCATGTGCGGCTTAGATCACAGGGGACCAAACCTGCTTTCTCCAGGGTGGACAAGCCTGGCCCAGCCCCCGAAACTAGCCCAGCTCCCTAGAGCTGGGTGCCGTCCCTCCAGCTGGAGGGCGGCCGAGGGCACCAGTGAAGTTACAGAAAGCCAGAGGTGGGATGAGGCCCAGCCCTCAGGCCCCTGTTTAACCAGCTTTCCACTGACCCCGTCCCTGAGAGGCATCAGCCCCAGCAGGAGCCAGGACTGCCCCCTCTCAAGGGAGGAGGGAGACCCAGTCGATCCCTCCGGACAAACGAACAGTTTAACATCATGAATACATGCACACACCACAAAAATCAAACTAAACAAACTGCAGGCAAAACCGGAAGAATAAATATTGGTGTCTGTGAAGTATGTATACTATAGATACAAATCACATGTGTGTAACATACATACATTTATTTTTATGCATTTTCTTATTGGTTCCAAAAGAAGAAAATGAGGAAATTAAAACTCAGTGATCGAAAATGTACCCAGAACCCTTAAATGCATATTTAAACTAGACTGTTATCGTTCTACCAAAACAGAACTCAAGGACAAAAGAAGGCAGGTCATGTTAGAAAGACTAAAGATGTTTCTCAACAAGCTTCTGGCCTGCTAAGTAAACTCCTAACAGAAATCACCGGCATACACGCCCGGACAGACTCAAGCCAGAACGGCAGGCTGGCCAGCTTCCGGGGCTGCTGAAGTTTTAAATGTAGGAAGTACTTGCCATAATCCATGTATCGTCCAGTAACTCGGAGGGTCTTTGCAGTGGCCCCGAACTTCCTATGAAGAAAAGACAGGAGACCAGTGGTTTCTTGTTTATTAAATACACTCAGCAACCTTCCTTTCTTTTGACAAACATCAACGGCATCCAAAGCAGGCCTAACACAAAATAAATTCTGTGGTAATTTACGACTAGCAATGTTCATGAGGGTACCACAGGGGTGGGGGCTGGATATTTTATTTGAAAAGAGTGAACCAAAAATTTGGAAAACAGAATTTAACAGCTATTTTTGTTTTCTTTATGTGCTTGAAAATTATCTGATGGATACACTCATACTTACCCATGAATAATTTTCTTGTCATGCAATCAAAAAATGAGAGCCAGAGGGTGGCATGACACCCAGTCATATTCAAATCTGTTCAGGCACCAGGTTCAAATGCAATAGTGCAATAATAAGTACTGAAAATCTGAAGCCAACAAAAATGCAGGCTGAGAGTAAAATAATTAACTCATGAAGTTAAAAAATCTTCAGTGTAACACTTTACAGGAACCTCCAAATTGTTTTGCTAAAATGGATCTTTTCCTAAATAAATAACCATTAAGAAATACAGCCCGACCATCCGGCAGTGGGCCAGAACCTGGGCCCAGTGGCCGCAGTGAGCAAGCCAGGGAACAGTACATGTCCGGTCTGGAGAGGCATCCGGCTCCCCAGCAAGCCCTCCTGCTTAAATCCCCTTCTGATGTGGGGAGGCGCTTCTCTGTACGGTTGGTCTGGAAATGAGGACAGGCCTGGTTTAGGTGATGGCAATGTCTGACATAAGGAGGCTCAGACTAGGGGGCAGAGGGCAGGATGACCACCCGTGCCCTGCTCCCATCCCCAAGGAAACACAGTCCAAAGCAGGCAGGCTTTCCTGCAGCACGAGGCAGGGCAGGGCAAAGCCAAGCGCCCACGGGGGTTTTTCTACCCCAGCTCTTCACCCAGCGTCTTGGATGAGCCTTCGGTGGGGGGGACCTGGGGTCAAGGTGCAGCTTTCCAAGGGGGCGTGAGCCCGAGGGGCCCTGAGCAGAGCACAGACCTGCGCTGGCACCTGTGATGTCCACCTGGCTCTCGGGGCAGCGTCCCTGGCCCCTCAGGCAGAGCCTCCTGGAGGCACGGTCTCAGCCTCAAGGGGCGGGCGGGCCGGGGGCTTGGTCAGTGAGAGGCGCGGGGAGGAGCCTGCACGGGCCCTCCTCTCCATGGGCGTCACTGGTCCCCGCAGAACTCACCTGGCACACGGTCGCAGGCCAGTGGTGAACCATGATTAGCTTGCCCCACTCAAGGTCGTCACTGCGAAAACACAAGGGGCTTGCTCTGTAACCTGAGTTACAGAAAAAGTGATTCATCCATCGATCATCCGGTAAACACCGAGGGCCGGCTGCAGGCCAGGCACTGCTGTGGGGAGGGGTCCGGGTCCCCAGGCACTGCTGTGGGGAGGGGTCCGGGTCCCCAGGCGCTGCTGTGGGTGGGCAGGGGTCTCTGAGAGGACCGGGGGGCCGAGTCCTTACTCTCTCGCAGGGCACCAGCCAGTGAGGGCGACGATGACCAAGGGGACTGAGCAAACACACACGGCATCGCCCGGGACAAGCGGTAATCATGTAACCGAGGAGGAGGACAGGCCTGTCCGGTGGGGTGTATGCTGCGGGCTCAGTCATGTCCGACTCTACGACCCCATGGACTGTAGCCAGCCAGGCTCCTCTGTCCACAGGATGCTCCAGGCAAGAAAGCTGGAGTGGGTTGCCATTTCCTTCTCCAGGGGGTCTTCCCAACCCAGGGATCGGACCCACGTCTCTTGCACCTCCCCCACTGGCAGGAAGACTGTTCACCACCGCACCCCCTGGGAAGCCTGGCAGGCGGGGAGGGGGTTGGGATTCTGGACCAGGCAGCCGGGAAGGCTCTGCAGTGAAGGACTGCTCAGAAAGCCCCTTTCTCCTCAGAGGCGCAGGCAGTGCAGACACAGACCAATGAGCCCTTAGCAGCACAAGTGACACCCACAAGCCTGGAAACACAAAGGTCCCTACAGCTCACCAGCCACAGAACAGCACCCAGAGCAGCACAGGGCTGGGCAGCACCCCAGCCGCTGGGATCTTGTTCTCTGCAGGATGCCTGACGTGGGATCCTAGGGACTTCCCCCAGTGTCCCCATGAAACCCATCTGACCCTGAGACGCTCCACAAGGGGCTGTGGAGTGGCGTTCACACACACCCCTCAGCAGAAGCCCTTCCACCAGGCTGGCAAGGCTTGGCACACACAGAGATGGGGGCAGAAAGGCTGGCTTGTGAAAACACTCACGTTCCAGATGGAAAACATCAGTAGCAACAGGGCATAGAACTCAAGCAGGCATGTCATTCAGGATAGATGAAATTTTATTTTATTAGGATAGATGAAATTTTAGAAGCAGCAAAAGCCAAACAGAAATAAGTTCTTACATAATGGTTCTGTAAATAATTGAGTACTGTTTAAAAAGCAGAGAATTCACAATATTTGAAAACTTTTCTCAGACTGAGCTAATGAGCAAATGCTCAGTTCAAGAGAAAAAGGAATGCATGAGCATTAGAGCCAGGAGAAGCATTAGAAGTGCTTTTTTTTCCCCCTACGTATGAAAACCTATTTCACAAAGGGGTAAACTGAGGCTGGAAGAGTGGGCAGAGGCCAAGAAAACTAGACCAACAGCATGGAGTTTACAATAAAACTCAACACTCAACAACATCTGTAATACAATTAGCACGTACCACCCTGGTGAGAGTGCTGTGCGTGTAAGAGAAAGATCCTCTCAAATCCGTGGAGACGCTGACTGCGCTGTAGAGAGAAAGGCCTCCCAAGCAGAGGCAGAGGGCCTGGGAAAACCCTGCTGACCCATGAGGCCCTCAGGCTCTGAGTGACCTTGTGAACACGAGGGTGATCTCGTGTTCTCGAACCCCTGCCTTGCTCGCCAATTATTTCAGTTGCTCATGACAAGTACGCCAGACAGGTGGACTAACTTACGTAACTGGACATGTGAACACATGTTTGCATCTTTGAAAGTTTGCAACTTGCAGACCCCTATGGAAGGGGCCTGTTGCACTGACCACTGTAGGCCAGGCATGGCTTGGAGCACATTCTGTGCTTTAACTGATGCCTCCAGGCATCAGAGCTAGGAGGCAGGTGCCGTCACTCTGGGGACGGGTTGAACGACCTTAGTGGAGGGCTCTGGATCACACATCTGGATCTGAGCGAGCAGTTCACACTCAATCCGCACACCACACTACCTCTCTGGTGATACACTTTTTACTTGAGGGTAATGCTTAGTTATTTAATGCAGCCCATTTTCAGAAAATAGCACTTTCTGGGAAAACTGAAATTTAATGTTACCTTTTAAAGTAAATGATAAAACAACAACGATGGTTCATTAGAAAGGAAAACCGAACTTTTCCCATGCCTACAAGTGAAGTATGAATGCCTTCTATTAACAAGATCATTACCCAGATAAAATATGCCACCCTTATGGCAGAAAGTGAAGAAGAACCAAAGAGCCTCTTGATGAAAGTCAAAGAGGAGAGTGAAAAAGTTGGCTTAAAGCTCAACATTCAGAAAACTAAGATCATGGCATCTGGTCCCATCACTTCATGGGAAATAGAGGGGAGACAGTGGAAACAGTGTCAGACTTTATTTTTTTGGGCTCCAAAATCACTGCAGATGGTGATTGCAGCCATGAAATTAAAAGACGCTTACTCCTTGGAAGGAAAGTTATGACCAACCTAGATAGCATATTAAAAAGCAGAGACATTACTTTGCCAACAAAGGTCCGTCTGGTCAAGGCTATGGTTTTTCCAGTGGTCATGTATGCATGTGAGTGTTAGACTGTAAAGAAAGCTGAGCACTGAAGAATTGATGCTTTTGAACTGTGGTGTTGGAGAAGACTCTTCAGAGTCCCTTCGACTGCAAGGAGCTCCCACCAGTCCATCCCAAAGGAGATCAGTCCTGGGTGTTCATTGGAAGGACTGATGCTGAAGCTGAAACTCCCAATACTTTGGCCACCTCATGAGAAGAGCTGACTCATTGGAAAAGACCCTGATGCTGGGAAAGATTGAGGGCAGGAGGAGAAGGGGACGACAGAGGATGAGATGGTTGGATGGCATCACCGACTCGATGGACATGGGTTTGGGTGAACTCCGGGAGTTGGTGATGGACAGGGAGGCCTGGCGTGCTGCGGTTCATGGGGTCGCATAGAATTGGACACGACTCAGCGACTGAACTGACTGAACTCAGATCTCTGTCTCTTCTACAGAAGTATAATGCGAATCCTCTCCCAGACCCCCTGTTTACCCCTATTTCGTCAGTTGCATAGGAAAACGGAAAGAGGGAACGAGGGGGAGGGGAGGGAGGACGACAGAAAGAAACTAGGAAAAAGGAACCACGACCACTTCACCAGGATCGCACCGACCCTGGACGGAATGCGCGCGCGCGCGGTCCCTAGAGCCGCTCGCAGGTTCGGGCGCCCGGGTCCGCCCCGCGCCCCTCCGGCAGCTCACCTCCTCCCGAGCCCGCGCGCGCTGCCCAAGCAGCTCAGCGCCAGGCACAGGGCACCCAGGAAGGCCGGGGAAGTCATCCGCCGCACCGGGGAGGACCCCGCGGGGTCGCCAAGACTCAGACTCCCGTGGGCGCTAGGCCCCGTCCGGCGCCAGGCCCTGCGCTTCCCTGAAAAAGGAACAGACGTCGCTAAGCTGACCGTGCGCCGGGCCAGCGGCCGGCGAGCAGCGCGGCTAACCACAGCCCACCCCTGAGCGCCCCGCGGAGGCCCGCAGGCCCGGGAGCCCAGATCCCCGCAACACAGTGGGCTCACACCCCGCCCACCGACCACCCGGAACCCCGAGGCCCTGCCGCCTCACCTGGTCCGCCAGACGAACACGACGGCCGGCCCACTCGCACCGCGACCCTCGCTGCACCGCGAAACCGGCTGCTGGAGCCTAGACCAGCGCGTTTCCGCCCAGAAGCCCCAACGCCCCGCCCCCGCCCCGGGACACGCCCCCAGCCTCGGCCACGCCCCCGTTTCGGCCACGCCCCTGGGTGACAGGCGGGCGCCGGGCTGGCGAGAAGCCCTGGAGAAGCCCGACGCCACGCCCCTTCTGGGGGACACGCCCCGCCCAGAGGACGCGCCCCGCCCCCGGCCTGTCCGTCTTCCCCTTAGGCTCTTTGCGCTTCACTTTCGGGCTGGTTCCTGCCTGCCTTCGGCCGAGACCCGGGAGGTCGACTTGAAAGCCACCTTCTCTGACGTCCTGGGAGCCCCGGCTCCGCGTCGAGCTGCCCGGGAGCCGGGGCTTTCGGGGCCCAGTGGCCAGTCCGTCAAGCTGTGTGACAGGCGCGCGGAGGCAGCACCGTGGGGCCCCGGCAGCCCCTGAACCCCAGACAGTCCTGTCTGTCCAGCGCCAAGACCGCGCAGGGCGCCCCTAGGTAACCCCACTCGATTCCATTTGCCTCTGCCCCGTTCCCATGATCTCCACCGTTTGCAACTCTTCTGGGACACGGAACAGCAGGACCTTCGGAGCTGAGCCTGCCATCAAGACCATCAGCCTTCCTTGAGATCAGACAAACAGGAAATCAAGGCTGTGACTGTGCACCCACCACCAGCCAGACAGCCAGGGTCCTTAGTCCTGAGAACCTGGGGGCTGAAGATCCACAAGGCAGTGCTCAAGTCGGGGGCGATGGAGGGAGGGAGGCAGGCAGGGAGGCAGTGGATGGGGCAGCAGACTCCAAACGACGACCTTCCCGCCTCTGCCACCTGCAGCTCAGGCCTTTAGTCCACCTTCCTGCCCCTGTATCCTCAGGAACTACCTCCTCAAAGATCGCCGGTGACCTCCTAACCGCAAACAGTGCTTGGTCCCCGGTCCTCTGGCTCTGTCCATCTTCTCTCTCCACTCTGCTGCCAAGAAGTGGTCAAACCATGCGGGGCCGCGGGAGGCCCTCCCAGCCACAATAACGTTTTCATGACCCCCATTTCTTGCTTGTAGCTAAAGCTCCAGCCTCCTAGACCTTCTCTCAGCTCCAAAGGGCAAATTCAAGCAGTCACCAGGGAACCGAGGGAGTGCAGAAACAAAGGGAAAGCAGTCAAGAAACAGAAGGGCAGTGAGCCCTGCCTCAAGGGGATAAATATATACTGATATATCTTCTGCAGGAATTAAGGCCCCCACCCAGGTGGAGGATGCTAACTTCAGGCGGAGCACACAGTCCTTGGTGCACCACCCTGTTACCTCACCAACAACCAGAGAGAAGAACTCACACACCCTGGAGTCTATACATCTGCCTGTAAAAATTCTTCTTCAAAAACCATTGGAGAGTTTGGGGGTTTTGAGCACAAGCCAAAAACCTGTTCTCCTTTCTTGGTTCTGCAATCAACATTTCTCTGTTCCAAACTCCCGTGTTTGGGTTTGTTTGACCTCACTGCGTCAGGCCCATGAATTTGACAACACAGGCTCTACAGTTAGGTGTGGATCTAATCAGGTCACTCCCCTGGAAAAACTTTATGGGCCTTCTGGTTGATCTTTGTTTGCTGTTGTTATTGTTTTGTTTTGTTTTCTAGCCGTGTGGCAATTGGGATCTTAGTTTCCCAATCAGGAATTGAACCCTTGGCCCCTGCAAAGGAAACAAAGTTTTAACCACTGGTCATTGTTGTTCAGTTGCTCCCTCATGTCTGACTCTTTGTGACCCCATGGACTGCAGCACACCAGGCCTCCCTGTCCATCACCAACTCCCAGAGCTTGCTCAAACTCATGTCCACTGAGTCGGTGATGCCATCCAACCACCTCATCCTCTGTTGCTCCCTTCTCCTCTTGCCTTCAGTCTTTCCCAGCATCAGGG